TGGTGGGCTTCAGCCCCGAGTCCCCCGCTCCTCCACCCGAGCTCGCTCCCCCACCTACCTTGGCCTTTAACCTTGACCACTCCCGTCGTTCGACCCTGTGGGGGACATGGGGGGATGGGAGGGTAGGGGAATGGCCACTGAGGGGCCCTAGAGCCCTCCCCTCCTCCGGACCAGCTGATAACACCACCTCCCGGCGGCCCCTGGGCCCCAGTACTCCTCAATGACATGTCTGCTCCAGAGGCTCACGGGAGGGAGGCTGCCCAGCAGACAGGCCTCCGAGGGGTCAGAAGGCAGGCCCATGGCCTCTGCTGTCCGCCCGGGGACCCCTGGGACTGGAGCCCCTGTGGCAGGAAGGCTGCAGGCCCCGGGAGCCTCACCGCCGTTTGCTGGGGATGAAGCCGATGTCATCGGCCTCGCTGTCGGGGTGGACCCGCCGTGCCTGCCACCACTCCTCGTCACTGGCGTCGAGCACGTGCAGCACGTCCCCAAAACGGAAGCTCAGGGCCTGGCTCAGGAAGCCACAGTCCTTGGTCTTGTCGTAATCAAACAGGGCCCTGCAGCGTGGGTGGCCGTCGGTCAGACACCGCCTGAGCTCTCTGGCGCCCCGACACCCAGCCAGGCCTTCTGGCAAAGTGTGGCCACTCACAGCCCTCCCGCAGGGGCCACGGACCCCAAGGAGCCCCCGCACCACTGTGTGGGGAGCAAATGCTCCACTGTGACGCACAATCACAACCACTAAACGCCACTTGGTCTGCACTGTGCCAGAGATCAGACAGGTTCTGGATCCCGTGCAACTTCTAGAACAAGATCTAGAACGCCGCCCTCCCAAGAACACAGTCTGCAGGACGCATGCACGGGACAGTCAGGGAGGTACCCCAGAATGTGCTCAAATTCAGAAGAAGGAACAGGGCCACTCTTTGCTAACCCTGCCTATCCCCATCAGTACCAAATTCCCGTCAGTTACGTCATGACCCCGGGGTCCAGCCAAGGGAGGGCCGGACCGTGGAGGCAGCAAAGACAGAGCACGAGAACGGGACCGAAGGGGACCAAATGGAAGAGACTCTGGGACCACCTGGAGGCACCTGGGAGCCACAGCAGACCGCCCCCAGGAGCCCACTGGAGCCCAGCGGGGAGGGAAGGGCCGAGCAAAGTCTGAGTGGGTGCCAGTTAGCGAGGGCGGAAACACTGGTTCAGCAAGATAAAGGGCTCAAGGACACGAGGGAAAGCAATGAGCTCAGTGTGGGATGTGTCGAGTGTGAGATGCCTGTGGGACACCCCAGTGGACGCGTCCAGAAAGCAGATGGCCAGAAACGCGGATCTGGACCTCCAGGAAGAGGTGGGGCCAGAGCGGACGGGAGCCCCGAGGGAGAGAGAGGGTGGGGAGAGAGAGGCAGGGGCCACAGAGCTGATGCCCAGGGAGCAGGAGACCTGTGACCCCCTCCCCTGCAGGCGGGGGCAACATTCCAAACAGCCGAGAGGCATCCCCCTCCCCACTCTGCCGGGCAGTAACCTGAGTCACCCAACTGTGGAGGTCCTAAGGGAAGTGCCAGGCCGACCGGGGGCCAGAAGGCAGTAGGGACACTGGAGGCAGACGCTATTTTCCAGTTGATATCATTCCCCAGTGCTGACCTGAGCAGCGGGGCCCATGAACGGCGGCTGGGCATCAGGCCCGGGAAGGGGTGGGGGGGGGAGCCAGGCAGGGTTCAGGGCCAAGAGCTGGGGCGGGGGGAGACACAGGACAGAGAGGTGCATCCGACCTGATGTAGAAACCCCTTTTGGGGTTGCTCCGCAGGGAGGCGGTCCCTGAGCCCAGGCTGCTGTTCATGAGCTGTTCCCGAAGGTCGTGGATCTTGGCCTCAAATCGGCTGTACTCTGAGAAAAGGACGAGAAGGTTCCCGAGCTCTGGCCCCACCGGAGCGCTTCCGCCGCCCTCCCTTGCCCCCACTGGAGCCTCCAGCTGAGGAGACCGGGCTCTGAAGACCCTCTCAGCTCACGACGCGGGGAGCGTCGGGCCCGGTACCTTCTGGTTTATACTGAGCGATGATGGTGACCGTCTGGCCCGCGTTCTTCAAGGCGATGGCAGCCTGCTCGTGACTGGCGCTGCGGAGGTCAACACCGTTCACCTAGAGACAGCGGGGAGGGTGAGTCGCCGGGGACGGGGACCAGGCCCCAGCCCCGGAGTAGAGGAGGGGTGTGGGCAGGGCCCGGCCTTCCCTCACCGAGAGGATCTGGTCCCCCTTCCGCAGCTCCCCGCTGAGGTCCGCAGGGCCACCGGCCAGGATGAAGGAGATAAAGATGCCCTCACCGTCCTCGCCACCCACAATGTTGAAGCCCAGGCCCGTGGAGCCCCGGTGGATCACTATGCGCCTCGGTTCCCGGGGAACGTCTTCCTCCCCCAGCAGGTCCTTGGCCACCGGGGAGTAACGCCGAGGGGAGGTGGGGGTCATGGCTGTGGGGTAGTCGGTACCCAGGTAGCTGCTGTGACTAATCTCGTTGTCCAGGTGCTGGGAATAAGCTGAAAGATGTGGGAGAAGGGGTGAGGGCGCTGCGGGCAGGACCCACGGCCGCCCCACCTCCTCCCCAGGGAACCAGGAGAGCCAGATTCGGGTGACGGAGGCATTTCTCCGCCAGATAGTAGGGCGGTGTGAGGGGGGCGTCAGATCCCAGCAGTGTTGGGGGGCAGGAGTGCACAGGCCACATGAAGGGCTGGTTCTCCCGAGGGACGGGGGGGGGGGGGGGGGGGTCATCGATTTGAAGGTTATATGTCCTCCGTACGCCAGGGGTGGCCAAGTGGAGGGGAATATTAGCACCAGGCTTTTGGGGGCTTCCTTGTGGGTGCTGGGTTTCCTCAGATCTCTCAGTCTATAAAAGTCCCCCCCGGCCCCTCTCCGGTTTTTCCTGCTCTTGGCTATCCATTGGTCGGGAAAACTAGGTCATTTGTCTGATAGAATTTCCCACTTTCTACGGGAGAAATTCTTTTTCAGTTTTTTAAATTTTTTTTAAGTGCTGTATTTTTATTTATTTTTGAGAGAGAAAGAC